TCACTGATTTCTAGAATCGTTTCAATTCCGATTCACAAGGTCCCGAATAGATTCGATCCACAATTCGATTCGATTCGATTTGAGAGTCAGAAATATTATAATTTAGGTCATGCATCAGTACATTTCCATATTTGTATATCTATAACAAGAAAGCTGACACTTGCGAGACTTTATCAAAGGTGTGAGCATCACAGCAGATGCCTTTGTGTCAAAGTAGCTGAGGATAAAACACAGAAAAACATAAAAGCGACTTTCCTGGCCTGGGATTTTATAAAAATATTCTGCAGTAGATCAAAAACGAAAGAAAACCATTAATCAACATATGAACATTATCTGATGCTGCTGAAGTGAAACAGAGCAAAGTTACAGAGGTTTGATTAGAGACACGGCTAAGCGGTTTGCAATTTTGCATAATTTTAAAAAGTTTACATTTGTTCAGTAGCCTACTGAACAGTAGAAATGAGGCTTTCTTTTCGGAAGTAAGAGGAAAAAAAAACATCAGCCGACAGCGCTGTAAACAACGGTAGACTTGTGCGTAATAAGCAAGCGAATAAAACAGATTTTTAGATGGGAAACTGTTCTCGAAGTATACTGAGTGAGAGAGAGAGAGAGAGAGAGCTGTACATGAAGTGTGATTTTATCATGGTGGAAGCAAAACAGTGAAAGTCAGAGGGAATTCATGATGATGAATATGTGAAGCGTAGTTTGGATCTTCTTTTGCTGCTGGTTCAGTCAAATAGTTTGGAGAGAGATAAAACTAACAGCCGAAACATCAGAATCAGTGAGCCATCGGCTTTCAGCCCCAACTGTGTCCGTGCCGTCGGGTGAGAAAGGCGACATCTCACTGATTCTGATCCGCTGGCGGGTCCGCGCTTTGTTTTTATGTCTTTGTGCAGAATCTGTGTACCTGCTCTCATTTACTGTTTTAGTTGTTTGGTGGTTGTTGAAATTTTGTGAGGTTTAACCTGAGATTCTGGCGTTTCGGGCAAAGTAAATTTATATTTAAAAAATCGATTCAGGATTTTAATGAATCGATATCATGTTATCCAAGCTAGAATCGATTTTAATCGATAAATCGATAATCAAAACCCACCCCTAATACATATGTATATGTATACAAAATAGAGCAGATATACAGGATGGAAATACAACCTGTGCTTGAAAAGGAGTGGGAAAAAATAACACTTGTGTGCTCCTAACCCCTTCACATATTTATAGCTCAGTCATTATTAACAAATACATAAAGTAATAAAAGAGAAGACACATGTATATAAGTTAATGATGTTCCTTATTCAGGCAGGTCAATCCATAAGTGCTCATGGCACATACGCCTCCTTCCTTGTGTTTTACTCCGGAGTTTGGATCAACTGATATAAACCCCTGGCTGCCAAAACTGCAGCACACGAATTTAATGAAAACAGTGATCAGTATAGATGAACTTAAATTCCAGAGTATATAAAATGAACCTGTGGTGTCATACAGGCTAATGAAAATGCCGTACAGGCCCTGCAGTGTCAAAGAAAGTCAAGCCCAGTTTATTAGAAACACTTTTCTTTGAAGATTTCTTGATTACAGACTCATTTCTTCATTTACCAGACTTATTACCTTCTTCTGGGGTCCGGACTAGCAACGTTCTGCTATCTTTGCCCTGGAATTCATCAAAGTAGGGACGGATCTTTATCTCGTACTCGGTTCCTTTGAGTAAGCCGGTGAGGACGGTGCTGCGCTCCGAGGGGGAATTGATGTCCTGGAGGAGCCATATTCCCCCGCTGGGCCGGTAGGACAGACGGTAGCCCTGGACGTACTGAGACTGACGGTCGACCTGGAAAAAATTGAGGTCCGCATTGGGGGAAGATGAGAGAAGATGACGGAACGGCGAGATGGAGAGGAAATAGAAGATTATTTTTCTCTCTTTGCTAACCCCAAATGAACACTTGTTCCCCAAAAAGCAGGAGAATATGTGTCACTCACGTTCCAGGATACTCTAATGGAAGCTGCTGTTAGCATCACGGGGTCCTGAAGCTGAACAGCCACCTCTCCCAGCTCCCTCTGCACTTGCTTGTGGTCCACTCCCTGACCTGTAGGGCTCACATCTGAGGGAAAACACACATAGAGTGATGCTGTCAGCGCATTAACACACAGTCACTGTTTCTAACAACTCCAGGTGTGAGTCTTGCTGTATTTGGTGAAAGGGGGGTGCAGGCTGACCTTGTGTTCTGACGGGCTCAGAGATGGGGCTCGGGTCACTCAGGCCGTAGGTGTTGACAGCACGGACGATGAACAGGTAGACGGTGTTGGGAAGAAGGCCGGTGATGGTGTGCGTCTCCATTTTAACCATGTCAGCTACAGTCTGCCATGTGCTCCCTGCTGATTGGCTGCAAAAGTACAGAAGATGAAAAAAATTCAGATAAGCAGTGCGATATTTAGTGGCAGTATATTATTATAATCAAGAAAATGTACTCAAACTACCTAGTAGAGATGTGCACGACTAGTTGACTAGATGACTAACTGTTGCTTCTGTTGATGGATGGCTAGTCATTTATTCTTAACATTTTAAATGATGACCAATGTCGATAAATTGTTGCGTCTTAAATGTTACGCAGTCATCTGCGACCAGCTGCCATGGAGCTACAGCCCTGGTATTGTTGTAGAAAACCTCCATAACTCAATTAATCTAGGTCTGATCTTTTTGTTAAGCCTATTATTGTTAGTTATTTTGAAAGCAGAGGAATAAGATCAAGCAGCGGAAATGAGCTTTCTCCGGAGGGTGGATAGGCTCTTCATTAGCGATAAGATGAGGAGCTGAGTCATTTGGGGGGGATGGATGATTTATTGTTTTGTTATTGTTTTAGATTTGGACTTTCATTGAGGTAAAACTTGTTACGAACTGTAGAACAATGTGTATCATTCATAATGCATGGTTTTTCTTCTTCTTCATTGTCTGCTTGGTGTATAACATGCAATGTTCATAATGCACAAGATGCCACAAAGTTAAGCAGCAAAGTGTGATTAATGATTGAGGAATGTGATTTATGGTTCAATATTTTCCTTATTTAGACACTTTTTGACATTGTCCATTAAACTTGTGTCAAATCAAACTTGATATTTGTCTCTTAGTTTTGACTACACTCTCATTTTTTTCCTCGTTAAGTCAACAAAATTAGTCACTAGGAACATCCCTAATAACTAGTAATTTAACCTCTTAAGCCCCCAAGCCTACCTGATCTCCTGCCTTTTGCCCCTGTATCAGGGGGCGTTGGGGCTTAAGAGGTTAATTCAATTTTATTTAGACAGCTCCAAATCACAACAGTCGCCTCAAGGTGCTTTATATTGTAAGGTAGACCCTACAATAATACATACAGAAAAAAACCCAACAATCATATGACCCCTATGAGCATCGAATGCCCCGGCAGCCTACACCTATTGCAGCATAACTAAGGAAGGATTCAGGGTCACCTGGTCCAGCCCTAACTATATGCTTTAACAAAAAGGAAAGTTTGAAGCTTAATCTTAAAAGTAGAGATAGTTTCTGTCTCCTGAATCCAAACAGAAGAGGGGCCTGACAACTGAAGGCCTCCTATAGTATAATTAGCTTGCATGTGCCTACTGCTCTTTGTCTCTCAGCATGATTACCCCAAAACTTCCAAACTGAACTGAATGAAAGCTCCACCTGAAAAGTGGAGCAGAGAAAATGAAGAATCTCATGACGCTGATGTGAAGATTCTTGTGAACTTGTGAAATACGTCAGTGACTTTGGCAGATGATACACTCTCTCAGTGCCCGTCCAGTTATTCATGCAATCATTTTTTTGAAGAGGCTGCAACTAAAGATTATTCTGCAACCTAATTCATCTGCTGATTATTTTCTGCTTTGTTGACAAATATCCAGGGAATAAAGACCACCAGAGTCTAACCAAAAGATTAAGAAAACAAAAGTAAATCGTTAATAAAATCAATCATCAATTAAAAAGGTATTTTTTTTACCCACCTGTTCCACTTGCTCACTTACAAAGAAATGATCAGTCTATAACTTTTACAGCAGTTTTTTTTTCATTAATTGAAAAAATATCAACTAAAATCCAGGAAAAACACATTATTCCCATATTTCTCCTACAATATGAACTGAACTACAACAACAGGTAAAATAAACAACTGCTGTAAACTGATGACTAATATTCGATTGAATTATTGTATTGCATAGCATTTTCCACCATCTTAGACAGTGGCTAACAGTAGCTTCACCTTCATATTATTTTCACTATATGAACAATTTCTATATCTTCTATAACATGCTTTTTAATGTTACTGTGAGTAATTCATATTACTTAGTCATTTTGTAAATCTCCTCATAATATGTTTGAAACCAAAACAGCAAATATGTAGGTCTTATCAACAAGAAGGCAGAGTGACAAGCAGCTTCAAGCTGCTTTGTAATACCGACTTGATGTGCAACCTCATAATTAACCAATGCATGGGAAGCTCTCTGGGCAAGAGCATGATCTATTTTTGGTTTCCTCTAATATTCAATTCAGTTTTATTTATATAGCGCCAACTCACAACAACAGTCGCCTCGAGGTGCTGATATTATTTATGAAACAATAACAGATGTAAGCTGAAGTTTTGCAGCTCACACAACTTTGTGCTTGAAAGATCTTCTCCCAGTGATACTATTTGTTGTCCTGATGAATAATGTAATTGGGCTTGCAAGAAGGCACAGCTGCTGACATAAAATGAGGGCATGTTGTTGGCCTTGTGGCACTGCCCCAGACAGATGCATTATTCCACCACCGCCAACCACAATCCCTCCCCCCTGCTGCCTTTCTCTGTTCCTCTGTGAATTTACCATCACCTTGGCAGAGAGGCAGTCACAAAGGCCTCCTCCACCATGAACTACCTTTATGCTGAATACTGTGTGTGTGTGTATTCATATCTTTGTGGGGACCAAACATTGGAAGTTTACTATACTTGTGGGGACCAACAGCCCTTACAGAGACCAAAA